ATGGAGGACATCAGAGGAACCAGGATCAGCCAAATACTTTAGCAGTTGTTGGAGTAGTAGCTGCTGTCCCAGCATATCGGCCTTCTCTACACTCTCCCGACAGGCTCTTCCACTTCTGAAGCTTTAGGGTACATTAGAAAGACAAGATCTTCTTGTCTTTGAATTACCTTTTTTGCCTTGGTGAACTTCCAAGCTAACAACCCCTCAGTGTTTTTCCTTCAAATCCGAAATTGTCACACAACCCAAGTAAAATCCTGCTGTTAGGTTAACTTGGAAGTGAACTGCAGAGTTAGCAGGACATTCTGTGCCAGGTTGTAAACAGTGAACAAGAAAAAAAAAGGTAAGAAAAATGTAGCCCTGCAGAATTTAGGTGGATACCAGGGCTCAAGAAACAGGGCAGGAGCTTCATCATTTATTAGAGTCATTCAATTAAACAAACAAACTCCAAAGAGAGCTGCTCAAAGAAAATCACTCATGGCTGGTAATGAAAACAAAACAAAGCAAAACAAAACTTGTCTCTGACTTTTTTGCTTTAAATAAAAGGGCTGTTTAAAAAGATGACTTGTGGAGTGTGTGCCACTTCTCCCCGATCGGCAGTGCACAAGTGCAGAAGTGTGAGTGATGTAGAGGTACTTGTTTATTATAGAGCACATTTCAATGCAGTAATCATAAATATTGCTAAGGTTGTGCTCTGTTGAAATATGACCTACATACTCTTGATTGTTTGTGTTACGTGATTTGTCTGACACCCATTACATTCTGGGTAATAGCAGCCATTTGTTGCTCTGCACAGCAGGCTCTTTTGACAAAAGAAAATAGGCAGCAATAAAAAAGCTATAGTCTGAATTACATTCTGCACGGAGCTGCACTGCTGAGAGTTTGTGCAAGTGTCTTAACAATGCTCTGAACTGCCTCTTGTCAGCCTTCAGCCTGTAATGGCCATCTGTCCTCACATAAATCTGTCAAAACCTGCTAAGTTCAAGAGAGAGCATGGAATATACCTTGTACTGTCAACACCAAAATGTACACATTCTCCAGAAAAATCAACACGCAGGAAGGGAGCCAGAGGTTATGGGAGGCATTAGCACTGTTGATTTAGGCTTGTGGCATGAAATTGAGAGTCCAGCCATTAGTGGAAAGATGAGCAACGGAATTGAGCATTGAGGAATTGAGTGTTGACCTCTCCTGTACCACAAGGGAAGAAACTGTGGGCAGAGCATGCCAGGTTAGAGAAATATAGCTGATTCAGAGGCCAAGAGGGGTAACCTGTCCCATCAGCTATGCTTAAAAGTTTGACACAACGCTGAAAGAAACAAAAAAAAATCTTCTTTGTGTTTTTGTTTCCCTTTATTTTGCCTTGGGTCTCAACTATATTTGGAAATAGATTTTCAATTAAGAACTGGGTAATACAAAGTCTGTCATTCATGAGATATCTCAGTCTTGTGCAAATTGCTCTCTGAATATGGGGCTTTTGATAAAGAGTCTAAAGAAAACAGTGAATTATCTAAAATCTTTCCCCTGCTCTTCCTGCACCAACAGTGAACTGTTCTCTGATGAGCAAGTAGGATTTGACTCAGCACGTGATCTGAGCAAAGATTCATAGCCCTAGTGTGTTCACTCCCAGCACACATTTGGTTTTTCCTAGGGCATTTCCACCCGTTTTAAGTATATCTAAACAAAACAATTATTTGAAAGTTAAAAGAATTCCCTTTTTATTAAAAGCAACCGTGATATCCCTGGGTGTGCATGCTGTCTTTGAAACACTGGCAACCCGTGTAGCATCTGGCACACAGTAGGTGTGTTGTGGATGTCTGTTCAGGAGCAAGAGGCTCTCATATCTGTAGGACATTTAAAAAAAAGCACAACTTTGTCTTTCACTGAAAGGATGTACGACCAGGGAATTACTACATCCAAGAACAATTGGAAAACCACTTATTTAAACAATAATGAGCTTAGATACTAAGACAAGGGTTTCAAATTTTCAAGAGTAAAAGAATTTCTATATTTAAAATCCCTAGATAGTCAAGGTATTTTTAGAGCTAGCCTCTCTTTTATAGTGGCCTAATTTGGCATTTCTGAAGTTCAGGGTTTCTTTTTATACATCTGGACTGTCAGTCAAAACACAGATATTTGGAGTAAAGGCCACGTGCTACACAGATGTTCAAAGACCTTGGTTCTCAGTATGTGGTCTGGGAACCATCTCATTAAAAATTTGCAACCAGCTTCCTAAGTGACTCTGAGGCCACTAACATGTGAGACCAGTTACTCAGAAAAAAAAAACTGCAAAAATGAAAATAAGCAAAATAACCAATAGAGAATTAAATGCAGGCAGTATCCTACAAAACACTCTCTGGAGAAAAGTGACACAATTCTCATTTAAAAAAGACAAATGCAGTACACATGAAGTGAGCCACCCAACTCGAGTCATTAGAACAGAAAAAAAATCCTTACCATAAACTGAATGAGCATAAAGAGATTTATGTAGGTGGATTCTGGGTGTTGAATGGCATTCTCTTCTCAAGGGTCACTTTTGGGGGTTTATTTGACTGGCATTTGTTGGCACTTACTCTGTTTACTCAGCATTAAATTTTGAGTGTGTGTTGTATTGCATATGTGTTGCATAGGCACTTGTTAGTGTTGGCGTGTGCCTGTGTGTGTGTGTGTGTGTGTGTGTGTGTGTGTGTGTGTGTGAAGGTACACATTAATGCAGGCACATGAGGAAGCCAGAGGTTAGAATTAGATGGCTTCCCTCAGTCACTCTTCACCTTTTTATTTGTTGCTTTTAAGACAATTTCTTACTGAATTTGAAGCTAATTCGTGGTCCAGCCCGTGAGTTTCCAGATCCTTTTGTCCCAATGTCCATCACTTAGAGTTACAGGTACACCCTACCACACAGACCTTTTACAGTGGTGCTGTTAACATAAACTCTGGTTCTCATGTATATGCAATAGGCACTTTACTGGCTGAACCTTCTTCCCAGTCCCTCATCATCAATTTATGAACACCTTTGATTCTAATGGGGACTATTCAAGAACCTGACATCTCTTTTTTTTGAGTGTGAGTACTTTGAAATGTGTTGTGTTGGTAACCAAAGATAACCAAGGATAAAATTCTCTATGTAAGAACAGCAATACAAAGTCTAAACAAGATGAGGAATAGGAACTTCTTAGTCTAGAAACAAGGCATGTTCTTTCTAACAGAGAGAGTAAAAAGAGCATGTGCCTCTGCCGGGCATTGGTGGCGCACGCCTTTAGTCCCAGCACTCGGGAGGCAGAGGCAGGCGAATCTCTGTGAGTTCGAGACCAGCCTGGACTACCAAGCAAGTTCCAGGACAGCCTCCAAAGCCACAGAGAAACCCTGTCTCGAAAATCCAAAAAAAAAAAAAAAAAAGCATGTGCCTCAATAGAACAGAAGTTTTATACAGGAAAATGTAGCCTACAGCAAAAAGCGAGCATGTGGACAGGGCCGGCTCCTGTGCAACTCAGATGTGCCATAAGGAAGAGTGTCAGTGTCTGTATTCATTTTATGAGTGTCACTCCCACTTTCTCCATGGAGATAATTTGCTAAGCATGCTAAAAATTGCATAAGATTGGGCCAGGATATTTTCTTGGAGGGAAAACATTAATTTCTTCAACATCTTTATCATCAAGTAGGAGAATAAAACAGCATCTTCCTGTTTATATCAAAATTGCATGTGACTCCCTGTGACCTACTTGGTTCTTGACATATTTATACTTTTTTCCAGCAAGGTAGGAATTTTTTCCACCTTGAAATGCACAGTTGCCTTGAGTCTCACCCCAGGCTTGTTAACAGACTGGAAACCTTGTATTTTTTTCTGCTGAATAGAATTCACTCATCCTCCTAAATAGAAAATCTATTGTAAACTAAACTGTTCCCTTGTAAGCATAAAGTCATTTGAACTGCAGCCTGCCCTCCTTCAAATTTTCTTGGACACTGAGCTTCACAACAATTCTTCCTGGGCAGAACAGAATGAATTAAGTTTATTCATGGATAAGACTTAGAGATAACTGTTATGCCTCAGACTGTCCTTCCTTAGCTTCAGAATTTTCTGTAGCAAGGCAAGCAAGGCACCAACCCACAGACACCCCTGTCTTTCTTTATTTGTTATTTATGTGATTAGCTGCTGAAGCTTGGAGTCATTCAGAACTTCTGTGTCTTGCTCTCAGTGACAATTTGCTCTAAATAAAATGGTCCTCTGGCATGGAGATATTTAGAGTCACTTTGCACTTAGTTTTCTGTTGCAGAACCCTATTTTAGGCAGAATATATTAGTTATGCTTACAAGAATGTATTATACCTGCATTAGCCATGGTTTACTAAGTTAATGAACTGTGGAGACAAAGACTCATTGCTGTCAAGTCATGGAGAAGCTCTGGTTCCCTATATTCAGCTGGGCCAACTTTTTCAAAGTTGTCCATGTATGTCATTCCTACCCTGACCAACATATGCAGTCATTACATTTTTTAAAAAAATATCTCCCCAAGGGTAGCTTCTTGATTGTTCTAATAGCCTTGATTCACTTTTATTTTCCCTGTAGCATTCTTGACTGACAAATGCTGCTAAGGCTGTTCCATGGTTCTCAAGTCCCACACATTAAATGCCTTCAAGTGACTCCTGCAATTCCCTTGAAAATGCCGGGTTTGGTGGCACCTGCTTCTGGGGCAGCTGGCAGGGACACATTCCTGTTTTCTAGGCAGCAGGATTTGTTAGCATACAAATACTATGAAATACAAAATATCACAGCTCTTGCCTGCTGCCTGGTATTGTCCATCCGTCTTTTGCTAGGTGACAGGAACTTAGGAGAAGAGTCCATTTGTCAGAGCTTGTCATTAATTTAGTTTCCTCTTTCTTCACTCAGTTTTAGCCAAAGTTTGAAATCTAAGAAAAATTAGGGAATGTGTTCATACTCGAAGAACATTTTCTCTTTCTCTTTTCTCTCTTTATTTCTCCACATTTCTTTTTGGTTCTCTTTTGTCGTAGGCCTAACTCCACCCACAACTCCTCCTCATAAAGCCAACCAAGATAACCCTTTCAAGGCTTCTCCAAAGCTGAAGCCCTCTTGCAAGACCGTGGTGCCACCACCATCAAAGAGGGCCCGGTACAGTGAATATTCTGGTACCCAAGGCAGCCAATCTACCAAGAAAGGGCCGGAGCAATCTGAGTTGTATGCACAACTCAGCAAGTCCTCAGTGCTCAGCCGGGGACACGAGGAAAGGAAGACTAAACGGCCCAGTCTACGGCTGTTTGGTGACCATGACTACTGTCAGTCAATCAATTCAAAAACGGATATACTCATTAACTTATCACAGGAGCTCCAAGACTCTAGACAACTAGACTACAAAGATGCCTCCTGTGACTGGCAGGGGCACATCTGCTCTTCCACAGATTCAGGCCAGTGCTACCTGAGAGAGACTTTGGAGGCCAACAAGCAAGTCTCTCCCTGCAGCACCAGAAAACAGCTCCAAGACCAGGAAATCCGAGCTGAGCTGAACAAGCACTTCGGTCATCCCAGTCAAGCTGTTTTTGATGACAAACCAGACAAGACCAGTGAACTAAGGGATGGCGACTTCAGTAATGAACAATTCTCCAAACTACCTGTATTTATAAATTCAGGACTAGCCATGGATGGCCTATTTGATGACAGTGAAGATGAAAATGATAAACTGAAATACCCCTGGGATGGCACGCAGTCCTACTCATTGTTTGATGTGTCGCCTTCTTGCTCTTCTTTTAACTCTCCGTGTCGAGATTCAGTGTCACCACCCAAATCCTTACTTTCTCAAAGACCCCAAAGGATGCGCTCTCGTTCAAGATCCTTTTCTCGACACAGATCGTGTTCCCGATCACCATATTCCAGGTCAAGATCAAGGTCCCCTGGCAGTAGATCCTCTTCAAGGTAAGGTTGTCAAAATCTACCCTGTACTAAAGCATTTCCTCAGAAGTCAGAAAAAAAAATTCAACCTCAGGGTTGATCTTCTGGTGTCACCCAGCCAATTATCTGAGTCTTGTACATCCCCCACCCCTTCTCCATGTTCTCTCACATACCTGGTTCTGAGCACTCTACACTGGCCAATCAGAACACAGACAGACATTTGTGAGAAACTTGCTTGTGAAACTTTTTCCATTACCTACAAAGCAGTTCTGTGCCTGGTGAGTTGAGATTCATGTAAGGTAAACATGACAGCATAGCCACCCCGTGAGCTATGGTAAAAACAGTAAAGGACACAGAGAGGGAATTGATCACTTCTTGGTCTCTGGTGTGACTAGCTGATGGGAAATTGTCACTGGAAGATCTTGCTTTTAAGAAGAAGACAAATCATACAGCCCTGAGCTTCCAGTGATGTTCAGTGGTCCTGGTAACTTGGGCTAAGAGCCAGTTGCAAATGTCCTTTTGGTTTTCTCCTCTCTCCCAGATCCTGCTACTACTATGAATCAAGTCACTACAGACACCGCACACACCGCAATTCTCCCTTGTATGTGAGATCTCGTTCAAGGTCACCCTACAGCCGTAGGCCCAGGTAATGAGGGCTGTCCCTTTCCTTCAGTTTCCTTTATCCCCTCCTTTAGATGGCAATCATTATCCTCAAGCTCTTCTTGTCCCCTCCCCATATGATAATGTATTTTTTTTTCATACAAACGGTAGAGGTTGGCCTAATGATGAGGTTCTCTTTCCCAGGTATGACAGCTATGAAACGTATCAGCATGAAAGGCTGAAGAGGGATGAATACCGCAGAGAGTATGAGAAACGGGAATCTGAAAGGGCCAGACAGAGGGAGAGGCAGAAGCAGAAAGCAATTGTAAGCAGTGTGGAGCTAATTTCATTTCTTCGCTTTTCTTCTGAGACATTTTGGCGGGAGTGGGGGGGTGGGAGGTGGGGTTGGCAGACTAGACAATAACTGAAAATTAGTATTTTGTTAACAGAAAAATGTTCCAATTTTTTGCTTTAAAGTATCAGAGTCTTAAGGTCCTTTTATTTGAAAAAATGTTGTCAGTGTATTTCTCATTACAGTTGAGTTGTGAAGTTCATTAGGTTTCTCAAGTTTTGTTTTGAATAATGAAGAAATGGAAGGCTTCTTGGGTCTGATAGGAGTTGGAAAGCATGTGGATTTTTTTGTTTGTTTGTTTGTTTTTTAGCAGCTTCCTGTTACTTCTTTCTTTTAGTGGGACAAGAGGAGATTCCAGAGTCCATTTAAAGTTCATATTGGAAATCTGACTAAGGAAGTCAGTATTTCTTACCTTTGATGGACCTTCACCTGACTGGGATGGGGGGGCTCATGGTTGATGCATTCATCTGACATGTGGGTACTGCTGATGCTCATGTGTAAACATACAAGTTATGACGAACCTGTCTGTTCTCTGAAATCCAGTACTGTCCTTCACTAGCAGTTAATAATGTGGCACTCAGGTGGTCAAAATCCAGTACATGCCCATGGCAGACATTCTTAATCAATCATGGAACTTTGTCCCTCGGAGGTCTCAGAGAGTCTTAAGGTCTTTCCCAACATGGTGCTCCTGGGAGCTGTTGCTAATCGATGAGATATGGCACTGTTTTGGTTCACTACACCTGCTGCCTGTCTATGCTTGCTGCTGCAAGTCACAACAGTGCAAGGAAGTATTTGACATACCTTGCATATAAGCTAACCAAGCCTTGGAGAAATGAGCTGTAGCTATTTATGCTGGGTTCCTGTGGTACCTCCAGGAAGACTCAGTAATATCAACAAAATAATGAGAAAGCAATACAACGCACTGTATAAAGAACATCACTTATGATGTTAAATCAAGTTTTAGCTGATAGTCACCAGCTAGAGTAGAAAGATTAAATGAGAGGTTTTGGAAGGAATTCCAAATAGGAATTGGAAGAAACAGAAATGAGAAATAATTGAATCATTAGACTGAAGTTCTGTTTGTTTGGTACCATTCAACTATGCATCTACCAAGGACTGAATCAAAGGCATTCTGCAAATTGTAACACTTTACCTCATTTTTTCTCAATTTTCAAATAAGCTGTGATGTTAAGATTTGCCAGAATGTCATTAGTTCACCCTTAGGAAGACTAATGAAAATGAAACTTTCAACTTTTCTAATATTGCTCTATTTAATTAATGGCCTATTCAATAATTATCAAAATTCACATTTATAAAGCATCACATAGTTTACAAAGCCTTTTCACACCACTTACTAATTACAAAAGCGAGCCACATTGAGAGAATATACAGTAACATAGTGTTTGCTGATTCATTGCATTTACCGTTTATAAATTCACATCTTACAGATTTCTTGATTTTTTTCTTAAATATATGGTATTATTTGCTCATTTGGGCAAAGTACAGAGCAATTCTAATCAAAGACAGATGAATGTTTCAATCAAAAATATGTAGATAAATGGCATGTATTTATTTTTGCCTATCAAAATAATTTAGGTCTAGATACTTAATTAGAGTAAAGACGGGGAGGGAGACATGATTTTTTCTGGTTTAACTTTCTCTGGAAACATCTAGTAGATTGCTATAGTCCTGATTAGGCAGAAGTGTTCTTAAACTCCTGCTCTCTTTCCTTTGTATATCAAATGTTGACTTTATTCTTTGGAGGACTTGAAGTAATTCAAATGTTCCGTTGGCTATATGAAAGTATTATGCATTAACTAGACACCGGTGACTCTTTTGGAATTGGTGTTTATTTAGATTTGAAAAAGTATTTGAAAAATAAAAAACACTAGGTAACTGAAATTGTTTACTAGCACAGTGATCTCCAAGTGTTTTATACATATTGGAGACATTCTGTTGAATAAATTCCCACTTGGAAAGTTATATGCTATTTCTTTCGACCACACATGAAGTCAAGAACTCAGAATCTCTTGGTAAGTAATTGCCAGGTGCTTAAGGCTTGCATTTAGCTCAAACCTGGTACCGGAATCCAAAGAGCTTGAAGTCAGCAGGCAGATAAAGATGTACAAGCAGAAAATATAATGTGATTAGTGGCTTGATAGAGGATTCATCTAAGGTACATGGTTAAAAGTGGTCATCCAGACCTTTGGGGAAGGAAGAACGAACATGAAGAAGTTGAAATTCATCAAAATCCTGAAGGCAAAGGTTTTTAACAACTAGAATGTCCAATATGGCAACTGAAGGTAATTACATGACTAGTTCTCTTAGGCAGGAATAAGATGGACCCTGTGAATGGATTTTGAAGACTTGCTACAAAGAACAGTGGGAAAGTTCTAAGTGCTTTTGTATCTATCGTGAATCATATAATATTTTAAGATATTCTGAGCTAAGTAGTATGCATTGTTAGCATTATTTTCTGTTTCTGTTTATATAACTTAACATGGCTTCCAGAAAATTTTACATTACTTACATTTTAATGCTTTTATTGAACATTGTTATTCATGGTAGGGACTGTACCTATGATGCATCTCTAGAAGATAGTTCATTATACTGGGAGCCTCTAGTGATTTAACTCTTAACACCAGAGCAGAATGTACCAGAAATAAGCCAATACATCTCAGTAGCAGGCAGATTTTGGAGTCTTGTAACTCGTGCTAAAGATTTTTTAACAAAGTAGCACTATGTAATGACTTTACCAACAGAAAAAAAATTTAATTGGTTTTCTTCATCCCATCATAAAACTCTTCTTTCATGTGCCATGATACATTGGAAAAATCTTAGACATGAGCACGGCGTGCCTACAGTGATTTTTTTCACTTATTTGCCTTAAATTCCATTTAGGAAGTAGCTGTGGGAGCCAAGATAGGCCACCTAAGTTAGCTAGATAGGTGACTTCTGTTCAATTTTTGAGATGCCCTTAAAGTAATGGAATAAATAGTCAACTGAATTTATAATTTCTTGGATGCCATGCTGCATTAACCACTAAGTAGAACAATCATGTACTTAGGGACCGGGCAGTTCAGAAGTTCCCAAAGAAAACGTAAAAAGCATTAAAAAGTGGTCATTGATATTTTGCAGAATAAATGCTCGGTTTTGTCTTGTGAACAGCATTACATCCATGTTGAATTTTTTTGAGGAACGGGGCTTTAGGAGAGCTGCAAACTTGAATTGAAGCTAGAGAAGTCTTCATGGAGCACAGACTCAGCACACTTTCATAAAGCCAACACTAATGATTAGAAACTGCAAATGCTGAATTCTCTGTCATGATTGGATATTATCATTACGTCAGTGTCTGCTTTTTACATAACTTCCATCCAAACTCTATCTCAAAAGCCAATTGAGTCTCTGCCTTTCTCCTTCTCCTAAGTTTAAAATAATTTAGATTAAACTGGAGCTATGAATGCCAGAGTTTAGTACTTAGTGTCTGAACTGTCACTGTTTTAATTTCTTGCTGAAATCCAAGTCCAACTCCATTTGCAATCTGTACAGTTTCTGCCAGAAAACATGATAATGGGATGTTAATTTAAAGAACAAATCTAGACATTATGATACGGTTCAGTGCTTAAAACCAAACCCAGATGCTAGGAAATGGCTAGGCTCTCACATGGCTCTCCTCTATTGGTCACTATAGAGTCCAGGAGTCACAACCAATACATCATTACTGTTGATTATAAATGTCTCTCTCCAAGTGTATAAATGTCAGTTATTCTTAGACAAAAGGATGCAGTTCCCTGTATAAGATTTTCATAATGGTTTTTCAGTATTTAGCCTTTTCAGGGGAATATATGTTATAGCATGACTGTAAGTTCAGAATTTGGAAATTTCAACTTTAAGAGAAAGAAATGCTAGAAGTTGTTTTGCAGCATCATTCCTATAGTGTGCAGTTTGATATAATTAAATGATAGATCTCACATTAAGTATACACCTGTGTACACACGCAGACACACACACATACACACACACACAGAGAGAGAGAGAGAGAGAGAGAGAGAGAGAGAGAGAGAGAGAGAGAGAGAGAGAGAGAGGTCATAATAACACAAGGACACTAATGCCGTTAAAATAGTCAAGGTTTTGCAGGTAAAGTATATTCCCAAATTCATCAAAATATTTACATTGATTATGTGCAGCTTTCATATTCTTAATATATTCAAATAAAGCTCTTAAAGAGCATCATTATTGGTCTATAGTTTTGGTTGCATCTCAGCTTTTATTTGACTGTTTGCTCCTGGATTGACTCAGAGTAGCCATGGCTGCTAGGCTGAGAGAGTCTGTATAGGATTTGCCCACGGGTAATTTTGTAAAACTTAATGTTATCATTTTGTTTCTGTCCCCAAAACATCCTTTAGTAGGAGACATTTAATGAACAGCTTCTCAACTGCATAAATGTACTTGATATTAACAGCAACAACAACAGATTCTTTTCAATTGATCTGTCTTTCTGGTCAGCATTATACCTAACTTGGATATCAACTCTGTCACCTTTTTTAGAAAAATAAAATTATTTAACTAGACTATTCAGTCATGCATAGTATTTGTATACTGGTGTGTGTGTGTGTGAGAGAGAGAGAGAAAGAGAGAGAGAGAGAGAGACTGAGACAGAGACAGAGAGAGAGAGAGACAGAGAGAGAGAGAGAGACAGGGAGTTTGCACACTGAGGAATGGTTCTACCCCCAGAGCTTTTTCCCCAGAAATACCTTGAGAATTTCTTCTGAAGTCATTTTGCAACTACTCTGCAAATGAAAACAAAAATCTTTTGTTATGAAGGTTAAAGTGGAGTTCCCTTTGCAGAGAAGGAAAGATTAACGTGTTTTGTGCTGCTTTAAAATAAAAATAAATGAAAATGTAGAATAAAAGAACTGGGAACCAAAGTCCAAATTATACTATTCACACTGGTGTCTAGGATTATGGAATATTTTACTGAGGTAATCCTTTCAAAAGTATCTAACCCTACTTGGCCTACATAGTGCTCAGTAAATGTCAGCTCCTTACTGATTCTCATCTTTCCTCAGTCAAACTCTTCTTACTGGGAGTCACTTATTATTTCATTTTTTTGCTTGTTTTCCACAGCTAACCAACAAGATCTATTCTCTTCCTGATAAAGATTTTAGTAATACAAAGTCAGTTAATTCCATCATACTTTTTTTTCTTTATTTATCTCCTGTGTTGTAATGTAACGAGAATTTACTGCAGTGGTTAATGCAACATAAATCTTCACTTGTATTATCCATCAGCAAACTAGCCTTTGTGAAAATTGAAGCTAAAAGTTGCTTGATAAATGTTCCATCCTCCTCAATAGTGAAAACTGTTCTGAAAATAATTTTTCAACCAGCTTTTTCCAAAGGTTCTGAGTCCCTTCAAGCCCCTAAGAAGTTAGAAATCATATTAAGCATTTTGATTTCTTCTCCTTTCATCTCCTGTTTAGAAATTAATGTCTTGAAATATTGGAGGCAAATGTTATTTTTTTAAAGATACGAACTCTATTCATCTATCTAATTCAACTGCAACATGTTTAAAGGCTGATTCTTTGCCAGAAATCTTCGCCAATCATGGAAAGATTTTAGTCTTTGCAGTCTAGACCTTAAGGTGTATTCCTTCTATTTTCATGTTTAGCATATAGAAAACAAAGAACTTCAATGCTTCTTAGAGCATTCCAGCATCCTTTCAGTCTTCTGTTCTTTGTAAGTTTGCAGGGCAGGGGCCCATCCTTGTGTTTCATAAAAAGAGCTGGTAGATTGAAAGGTAATTTAAGTGATGGAGGAGCAACTCTTTCGAGCTGTGTCTCCTTTCATCGCAGAATCTTTCAGGCCTAGGGAAGGTCCTCTGGGTTATCTCTTTTAGTGAAGATCATTGTTGCATACAGCTTTGTATAAAGCCGCAATTCAGAAACTGTCCCAATATGTCTGCACATATGGTCGATTTTCGCTTTAACTTCACATTTCCTTGAATACATAGGCTGTGTATTCCCATAATGGTAGCTGAGCAATTTCTGTGCTATGGCTCAATTTCTTTCTTTCTCTTCTGCAGTTCCCTCTCCTTTCTTTACACAGTAGTAACTTCCCTAAAAGGCTCATTAAAAAAAAATCCATAACACCATGCGAGCAGGCGCCAGGAAGTTTAAGTTTAGATAACAGTCCCATCACATTTGGCTGTTGGGCTGAAACTGGGTGCGTAAATAGAATGGAATGTGGTGTTATGATTCCCTTGATAATGTGTGTGAAGGGCTGCTTAGGCTCCAGCCTCACCAACAATTTCTTTCTACTGACTGGATAGCTGTGTTGCATGCTCTGGAAAAACAATTTCAGCCTTCAGTTGCGACATACAATCTACATGGACATGAATCTTGAGTCTGCTTGCTTTACTTCATTGGGTCACTTAGGAGGCTTCATGGCATGTTAGATGAATTTTGCTTCAACTGTTTGATTGGAGTCTCCCCTCTGATTTCCAGAGTTCTTTTTAAAATGATCCTGCAAGCATGCTTCTATTCTGTATTTCTCACCCTTTGAACTTTAAATTCCTTTTGGTAACTTGTAGTATGAATAACAAAAACCCAGACACAGATATTGGGGATGATGCTGAAGATCAGAGAATCAAAGCAATAGCCACTATAGAGTTTTTACCTCTACCAATGCTCAGACTGGAGGGAAGATCTATCAAACCTCAGACTGCTTCTGATTGTACTACTCCTCAGACCTTTGAATTTCTGTCTCCTTCTGGCTAATATTCCTCTCTAGTGCTGGGATTAAAGGCATGGGATCCTAAGTGCTGAGATCAACTTTGTTTGAGCTCTGTTTCTCTTTTAGACTCGATCAATTTCATGAAGCTCAGGGTGGCCTTGAACCAACAGAGATCAGTCTGCTTCTGTCTCCCAAATGCTGGGATTTAACGTGTGTACCACCACTGCCTGGCCTCAATGGCTGTGGTTAGCTTTGCTCTCTGTTCTTCAGACAAGCTTTATTTGTTTGCTAAACAAAATATCACCACAGTAACTCACTCTGCTCAGCTGCCTAGGCAAAGCTTTTCCCTTAATAGAGGGCCATATTCATATAATATCCCCTTTATGGTGGACTATCTCAGAGAGTAAGGCCACCCAGAATGGGATAGTTTTAAAAAGTGTAAACTGAGTACTGAAGAGAACACTTAGCTATTAAGCGCAGCTTTTTGATCTTGAAGACGATATGGGTTTGGTTTACATCATAACTACTATAACTTCAGTTCCAGGGAATCCAGTGCCCTCTTATGAATTCTATGGGTTCCATCCATGCATGTGATGCATACACATATATTCAGGAAAAATGGTTGTACATATGAAAATATTAATTGATCTTTTTACTCTTAGATCAAATATTTACTGAGATTCTCTTTCATACTTAACATAAATTGGGGAAAAGAATAGATACAGGCTCAATTTCATGAATTCTTCATTGTACTAGGGAGAGAGGCATTGAACAATGAATAAACTATAATGATTTAATTGTACTTAAACAGAGAACTACAGTTAATAGCACTTCACCTGAATTTTGATGAAACAGCTATGGAGCTTAATGTAGTTCTAGACAGTAAGTGTGAGGAGCTTGGGTACAGTTTTGGAAATATTTTCCAAGTTATAATGGAGCACTTTATGCAAAGGCTTTGGCATGGAGGGAACACATTGTAATTAGGGGCCTTTTTTCTAACATAAAATCTAGAGTCAAGGAAAGGATGAGCTATAGGAAAAAAGCCCATACAGAGTAGTACAGATATTGCAGGGCTCACCTACTAGATCTTGTTATTGAATTAGATATATTATTGGAAGTATTAGAAGTCAAATACATTTAATTTATATGGCAAATAACATGACTGAATACCCTTGACTTATTGATCACTATTCTATCTGTGATAAAAAGACAAATTAGAGGAAGAAAACATAAAGAAAAGTTGGAAGTGCAGCACGGGAGGGGGGAATTAAGAAGACAAATTTGAAAGAGATTAAAGAGATAAATAAAGCTAAATAGGGCCTGGGTTCAGCCCCTAGTACCCACATGGTAGTGCCTCTTTATAATTCTATCCCTGGAAGATCCAGTGTCCATTCTTAGCCTTCTGGTGTGTAGCTAGAGAGTGTGGTTTGGCAAGGTTGTTCCAGTTTAAGAGGTCTAGAGGAAGTCTAGAAGGTAGTTGGTTATCTGAAGCTCCGAGGAGCTCCCTTCCCTGACAAAAAATATTCAGTAGTGTTGTTTCTAGTAAATGTGTGCAGGCATCGATGAGCAGATAATAGAAGAAGCTCCAAAATGTGAAGATTGCTGGGTTGCATTTCACAGATGCTATGAAGTGCTCACTCTGTGGCAGATCATTTGCTAAAGCTTGTGAAAAAAGAAAGGCTGACACCAATGTTGGTGGACTTCTCTTTGCTATAAGCCTGAAGTGGTGATGTTTGCAGCTTTGAAGAATAAGGCACTCAGCATACCCTGAGAAAAAACTCTTGGAGAGCTGGACATTTATGCTAGCCCTGTGTTTCCCAGACTTTGCTTTGATCGTATGTAAATCTCTGCAATCTCAAGTTCATTTTCTTTGCTTGTTCCTTATAGGCACATGAAGTAGTTAATAAGACAGAGCCTATATTTGCTCCAAATGTTCTCTAGAACTCTCCTTAATTTTGAGACATTATTCCTTTTGGTCCCTGCCCTAGAACATGATATTCAAGAGTGTTTCTTTCACTAAGGATGAACTCCACATTTATCGAAAAGGAATCTTATCTTCAGGCAACACAGTCTTCCTGTGTTTTGTAGGTTATAAATTTCTAATAACTTGTACATTATGATCGTATTGACATCACTTGTAGAAATGAGGCTGCCCCCCTCTAGTTCATTCTTAAAATAGGATTGGATCTATTGGCAAAGTAAAACTTATATCCTTTTTCATTTGGCTCATACTCTTCAGAGACCTATGGCTAAAAGTGGCCTACATTTTAATACTGTTTCTCAAATGTTTCTCTTTAGGGAGTGTACTTTAGAACTGCTGTGTGTCCTTGCTACAAATGATGACGATCGAGGCTTGTCCACCATTTGTATTATTGTCCATCTGTATAAACTCCAACAATTACATTTTGAACACATTCCTTCAGGAAGCTTTTTTAATGGGGGGTGTGGTAGTTATAAATTAAGAACCACTCTTTGAGGATGTAAAATTTTGTTCATTTTTCTGATTAGAATTCTGAATTGATGGGAAATAAAATAATTTCTAAGCCAGGTTAGCTGTTGTACGAATTCTGAAGATTAATAAGAGAGGCATAAGAGCTCACATATTCCATATGCACTGGTTATCTTTTTGGTAATTAAAAAAACTTCATTGAATGAATGTCTTTTCTGATACATGAAGTTCATGTAAATAAAGACAAGAGTGGAACAGAAGAAATAGAAAAGAGAAGATTTGTGGAGAAGAAAGCTTAAGTGTGAATGAAGAGCCTGAAATTAAGGCTTGGAATGTCAAACTCAGTTCCTGTGTGGAATTTTTCTATAGGTGTGATACCTGGTTTGCTCTAGTGAGATTGCTCTGTGAGTGCTTGTACATGATTATATATTCATGGATGCATCTAGTGGTGCATCTGCATTTTGTCTCCAGAGCTAGGGAAAAGCATCTCCTTCCTTTTCGCTCATAGGAAGAACGCCGTGTGATTTACGTTGGTAAAATCCGACCTGACACAACGCGGACGGAACTGAGAGACCGCTTTGAAGTTTTTGGTGAAATTGAGGAATGCACAGTAAATCTGCGGGATGATGGGTGAGAATCTTCAAAATTATTTCTTGTTTAGAAGCTGACGTAGGTTAAAAATTATGACCCTAAGATTACTGGGATGGGAGTTGCCAATGTAAGTGCTTTGACAGATGACATGTTGAGTTCAGCACCTTATTTATTTTCTTTCATCCCTATTTATTAATCTTTCTAGTTGAGATTTCCTGTCTCAGAATAAGTATTTAGCTGCCTGACAGGACAATCACACTGATAAATGGATGTGATTGCAGAGACACTGGTACCAGTGATGTCTCCCAAAGTAGAAGGGGTTGCAGTCCTCCGTGCCAATGCTGTCTAACCAGCTCTGAATGCCTCTTCCCTGTCCATTGCAGAGACAGCTATGGTTTCATCACCTACCGTTACACCTGTGATGCGTTTGCTGCTCTTGAGAATGGATATACTTTACGCAGGTCAAATGAAACTGACTTTGAGCTGTACTTTTGTGGACGGAAGCAATTTTTCAAGTCTAACTATGCAGACCTAGGTACAGTATATAACTGTTGTACTTGGAAGGGTGAATTCATACCATAAAGCTCAAAATGCAAGTCAGCATGCTCTATAGAAACCTTAGGAAAGGCCATCACTTGGTTTTCCTGAGGTGAATACATGAATACAGTCTCTTTTGTTTTTATAGGAGACCATTTCAGAAGCAAGGTGCTTCAGTCTGATGTTTAAGGGCAGATGTTCATGGACTCTTTGAATATACACTAAGCCATTGGTGGTGCTTGTGTGTGGTGGGGGTATTGTCTTATGTGTTGTATGCATTTGTATCTGAATTTATTCAAGCTTTGCACATGTTTATGTTCGTAGTCTGTGTTTGCTCACCATACCTACTCTCAATCCTTTCCTATAAACTCAAGCAGTGTCATTGTTTTTATGGCACGGGGTATGTCAAGGCTTGTTCTTCCTTCCTTATTATGTCCCAAGCACTTGGAAACACTCTCATCTTTAAATTAGAATTGAGAAGAGAAAACTGAAGTCCATCAACTAAATGACCACACACTTACTTTCTTGGGAATAAAATAAAACAAAAACCAAGTTTGTGGAGTATTTTCCAGATCCTACACATTGTAAGAAGTTCAACAAACAATTGTCATTCGAGAGCACAATTACAGTAGGAGATATGTATTGGTATCATGCCCATTGTGCGTATGATTAAAATCAAATGCCATATAACTATTTACTTTTTCCTGTTCAAAGGAGGCTCTTTAGATGAAAAGTAAAATTCTGATCAGCTTATTTCCCTCAGATGAAACTATTACCAACTGATTTCAAAATTTTGTCTTAGAGTTCTCCTGTCCCTGTAGTTGAGATCATGCTGTATGTGTGCTTATACCTGTATGTATAGCTTAAGTCCTACCCTTGTTAGCAGTGATATACATATTCATGCCCTGATGTGATTTGCAGGACATATTTTAATGGTTGCATACCATTTTGCGGGGTGTGTAGTATCATTATAGTTAGTTAATTCATTATAACTCTATTTGTATTTAATTTTTAATTTTTGATATTATAAATAATGCTACAATGGACATCTTAATGTCCTTTCTAATTTTAAATTTCTTCCATTGCATGCCATTCTCTATCTAACGTGTGCATTATATACCATTTAATTCTTTGAGGAAGGAATGAAGAAAAGCGGCAAATGTGCATATCATGAGCATTTTAAATTAATTCATAATAAGCATAAAATTAGCATGCACATCTATTCTTCAGCATTATTAGCTATCCATTCACAATTGCTCTAATGCAGTATAAAGACAAAACTGAATACCAAATACTGGGATTTCTTTTTCCCTTCCAGTACATTTGTGTCTTCCTGGAGTAACTGATATAGGTGCTGTGCATTGTTCAGGGGGAATATGCTATAATTCACTTCACAAGCTAAATAGATAGAGGGAAACAGGGGAGCAGCAGCTGACTCCTGAAGAGATAGAGGCCTAGGGATGAAAATATAAGACCTGGCAAGTCATTTGTTCAAATGTTGGCTGATAAAAACAGTCAAGACAGATTGAAGCCTTGAGTTGATTTGACTTATTTCCTTCAGTGTTGAAGGCTAGGGTGTTTCTACTCTCTCACAACATCTAGAGTTTAAAACAAGCTACCTAGCAGGGTCTTTGGATAACGATTCATCACGGCAGAGGGAGGACTGGATGGTATTTCCAAATTGAACTGATGCCTCCCTGAAATATTTCTAAGAAGAATGCTCCTTCTCAGCTGGTTATCTACCTGCCTAGCTAGCAGCCATGAAAACTTTCCCATTGCTAAGCACACTCACTGATTTTTGAAAAACAGGTTTAATGAATATTGTAAGAGCACGGGATATTTAAACTCCCTAAAGTGTATCAGTGCCATTGAGGTGTGGCTGTTCTGAACATACTCATGAGGTAGCCAAAAGAGCCTATACATAAGAGTCATATCAACCTATGTTTGAGACCTGCCTCACTGCTGATCTTGGATAAGCATTTCAGCTCCATCAGCTTCTGATTATTTCCTTATAAAATAACTCATATTGATGTAGAGGCATATTAAATATCTGTGGAAGCACTGGTATCATAGTGCCTAGTATAAAACACATAGGATAAATTAAAAGTATGAGCAATAAGAAGTCAGAAATTATTGATTATTGTTAAATGGATGAATTACCATTAGGGTCTAGCTTAGGAGTACAATGAAAATTTCATGTCTTCTTATCTTTGTTTCAATGAAGAATTTAGATTAGATGTCTTAAGTCATGTGTGATCCCTAAATAAAAGGAACATAACAATGTACTGCATACATAAAGGAATTGAAAACTCATAGATATGTTAAATTAAGCAAAACTGACATGATGCATATAAATTTTACTGAGACAGAAAATGTGCTGTTATTATTTTAGACTGATTCTAACTTTATTTTTTCCTGTCTTCTTTGCTTCTCCAAATGAAATTATCCCACCACATGCATTGTATTTCTCTACCACAGGAAATGGCTAATGATGACCATAATACTATTAGAAGAAAATGTAATGATTGCAACTGCTATTTGTTAGCCACTTTTATAAGTGAGAGTGAAACATTAATGTGACTTGATTAGGGCTATAGTGGTGAGGCCAGGATTTGAAATTTACTCTACGGCTAAGGAATTTCTTTCTATTGATTCTATTTGCTGTTATATAAGCAAATGACTCTTGGAACTATCCGTAATTCCACGTTCAGGAGATTCAACACTCTCTTCTTGCCTCCACTTGCACACGGTGCACATACATACCTGCAGGCAAAATACTAATGCATATAAAATAAATAAATATAAACTTAAAAAAGTGTTGATTAGGAAAGACAGGATCAGAACAGGGTGAATTTGTGTTAGGAACATAATGGCTTCAATTAAGTATTAGTAATACACAGAATTCATGTTCAGGCATATATAAAAATTGAAGTAATACATTCATAATTGCTTCTTCATTTATCTAAACAGTAGATTATACTATCAGATAGTATACACATAGCTCTACATTTTTTGATATTTATTGGTAAATAACTTCCAGATCAATGTGAATATTGTCAGCTATGGTTTCAAAGTATGTGGGTACCTGAGATTAATGCATCCATTGAACAACATTAATTTTACTATTTATCTGCTCCTAACAGTTTTCCAGGTGTTAAGAATACAAATGTTATTTTTTCTATTAATATGGAACCATTCTTTAAAAATAGTGAGATTTTTTCAGTTTTTTGTACAGTTTTCATTATATCTTCTTGTATTCCAACTTCTCTTCAATACGAGAGAGCATGATGGAGTTCCTACTGTTTTCTTACACATGGCCTGTCTCATCCAATGGGAAAATATTTTTTGGATGCATATTAGGAGGCATAATGTGTGTTCTTGTATAGGTAGCTGCCCAGGTGAAGTTCATCACAGTAAGGAAAATATTGACAAATATTGTCTCACATTGACTATTGTCCATTTATCAATAGAGATACACAACATTAAATTCTGGATTAATTACCCTTAGGTCATTCAACCTTAGGTGACTGAACTCTAAATTCCCTCAATGAATAAAATTGCAAATTGCCATTCCTGGTTCCCTAATGCCTATACCCCCAGCCCCAGCTAAGCATGTCTTTATGTTGGAGTTTCTGTTTCAAACTTCTCTATTCTTCCTCTCCTGTCATTTGGATTTTTGTACTGTAACTTAACTTAGGAAAAATGTGAAATTCTCATATGATTAGCATAACTGCTAATGTGTTTCTGAAAGGTTTTATGTCCCTTCAAATAAACACTTTCCAAGAAAGTAATTCATTCACAGGAGACTTTGGTTATGTTTTCCAGAAACTCTTTCTCACTTTTAAGACTAGCATATACCATCTATATTTTTTATAGATTTAAATGAAAAGGGCTAAAAGTATTTAACAGTATTTTACCTTACCTGCACTGCTAAACACACGTGTTTTAAAGGAGTTATTTGAAGTAATGTGGGATTTTGCATAAAAATCTGATTTGAACCAATTGAAAAATCCAAGAAATTCTAGAATGATCTTTGTCCCTCCAAATCTATTAAATTTTGTGCTCAATAAATTTAAATACATTGAATGGGGAAAATATTTCTAGCTTTTACTTGTGCCTTTCCATTTAAGTTATTGGGAAACCACTGACAAATCTGTTAAAATACCAAGATAAGAGAAAGGAGGTCACTTGTAAAGATATTAAATATTAAAGAAATATTGACGTCTACTACATTTGTGTACTCTGAGTCCTTAGGTATACAATGAATCAATAGGTATTTTGTTTTTGAAAGCCAACTACTCCCTTCTATATTTACATTTATATGTCCAATATAATTCAGGCATTATTTTTAAGTACAATGATTCAGTGTATTCCAGTTGAGCCAAATATTATGAATTGCATTGAAGGCCACCAGCCAAAGGTGCATCTAACCTGGTTTGGGTTTCTTTCAGATTCAAATTCAGATGACTTTGACCCTGCTTCCACCAAGAGCAAGTACGACTCTCTGGATTTTGATAGTTTACTGAAAGAAGCTCAGAGAAGCTTACGCAGGTAACATGTTCCCTGCCTGAGGATGACAGAGAGATGGTCAATACCTCAAGGGACAGCGTGTCCTTTCCCAAGACTCTTGCAAGTCATACTTAGGAATTTCTCCTACTTTACACTCTCTGTACAAAAAAAATAAGGCAAAACAACAGCAACCATACTAGAACAAGAACAACAACGGTTTACATGAACACAGCTGCTGAAGAGGCAAGAGATGGAATGATAATCCAGTAAGCACACGTTTATTCATGGGTGTCAGCTTTGCTTTCCCTGGAGGCTCTTGGTGACAGTGTGTGTATGTGTGTGTGTCTGTGTGTGTGTGTGTGTGCACGTCCGTGTGCATGTAGTTGTTTGGAAAGAACATGTGTGCTCATGTGAGGACTTGGGGGCAGACCTGACCAGAATGAAAAGGGCAAACCCCTTCAAATGGCAGCATTTCCATGAAGACACACTTAAAACCTAGAACTTCAAAATGTTCATATTCTATACAAAAGGAAAATAAATATATATAAATTAAAAGGAAAGAAAACTCACAAACCACCCTAAAATGACACTGCTGATGTCTGCCATCAGCCTCCGGTACTGTCTTTTCAGAAAGTGCAAAACCAACCTGCAGCAAGCCCTCTCTCTCTTAACATAATGATTATGTGACAATCCTGAAGACACTACAGGTTCCATAGAACTAATGTTCTCTCTTTTCTCTGTCTCTCTCTCTATCTCTCTCTGTCTCTCTTTGTATCTCTCTCTCTCCTTCCCTCTCTCTTTCTTTTTGCCATGGAATCTGGGTGGGAGAGGATACTGCAGGCACCAGATGCTAAACTTTCCTAACATTTTGAAGTTTCTGTAGTTCGTCCTTTGTCCTGACACCTATGTATATGTCCAAAATGTTGATCTTCCACTGCAAATTTTGAAAAGCCTTGTCATTGGTCAAGCGGGGAGTGTGTTCGGCGGTTCCTTCTAAGGAGCAGACGTAGTGTTACATGACTACTGAGAATTAAGTAGAACTCTCTGGATGTGTTCAGATAGTGTAATTGCTACATTCTCTGATGTAGTTCAGTATTTACAGATGTTAAATGGAGTATTTTTATTTTATGTACATACTCTACAACTATGTTCTTTTTTGTTACAGCTATGCACTGTAAATGCAGCCTTCTTTTCAAAACTGCTAAATTTTTTCTTAATCAAGAATATTCAAATGTAATTATGAGGTGAAACAATTATTGTACACTAACATATTTAGAAGCTAAACTTACTGCTTATATATATTTGATTGTAAAAAAACAAAACAAAACAAAAGACAGTGTGTGTGTGTGTGTGTGTCCGTTGAGTGCAACTACAACAAAATGACGCTTCACGCACATCCATTCCTTCTTAGGAGCTTCGATCTAAGCATCTTGTCAACAAAAACAAAAATCCTAGGCCCCTAAAGGTATTAGCCACTTCTGCGATATTTTTCCACATTTTCTCGTTGCTTGTTTTTCTTTGAAGTTTTATACACTGGATTTGTTAGGGGAATGAAATTTTCTCATCTAAAATTTTTCTAGACAATATCATGATTTTATGTAAAGTCTCTCAATGGGGAACCATTCAGAAATGTTTTTATTTTCTCTATCAACAGTAGTTTTGAAACTAGAGGTCAAAAAAATCTTTTTAAAATGCTGTTTTGTTTTAATTTTTGTGATTTTAATTTGATACAAAATGCTGAGGTAATAATTACAGTATGATTTTTACAATAATTAATGTGTGTCCGCAGACTATCTTTGAAGCCAGTATCTCTTTCCCTTGGCAGAGTATGATGATGGTATTTAATCTGTATTTTTTACAGTTATACATCCTGTATAAATACTGATGTTTCATTCCTTTGTTTACTAAAGAGACATATTTATCAGTTGCAGATAGCCTATTTATTATAAATTATGAAATGATGAAAATAATAAGGCCAGTGGAGACTTTCTACCCAGGGTGCATGATGGTTGTCAGGTTGGAGTGTAAGTTCTTCATTTGGGAAACTCAGCTCTCGCAGAAGCAGTGTTTCTTCTCTCACTAGCATGGCCTCTGACATGACCATGATGTTGTTCGTGGTGACATTGCTTCTGCTAAATTTAATGATAATAATAATAAATGTCAGAAAAAACCTCCATTTTGAGCATCAGGATTTCATCTAAGTGTGGAGTTGATGCCATGGAAGTCACTAAAGTTTGGAGTATGTTTTTGATTTCCAAATTGAAACGCGTTTACTGTTTGGCTGATGTGACTTTTCTGGAAGATGTGATAGACCTACTACTTACTTAATTGTTCTTTTCCTTTCTCTCACCCAACACGATCTTACAAAATGGGTTTCACCCCCAGGCCAATGCAGCTAATTTTGACGGCTGCATTCATTTATCACCAGCATATTGTGTTCCGAGTGAATCCACTGTCTGTCCTGTTGGATGCTTGCTCAAGTGTTTGGCTTATTATTTCTAAGTAGATAGAAAGCAATAAATAACTATGAAATAAAAGAATTGTGTTCACAGGTTCTGCGTTACAACAGTAACACATCTTTAATCCGCCTAATTCTTGTTCTGTAGGTTCAATGCAGGTATTTTAACTCTTTGTGAACGCCAAACTAAAGTTTACAGTCTTTCTTTCTGAATTTTGAGTATCTTCTGTTGTAGAATAATAATAAAAAGACTATTAAGAGCAATAAATTATTTTTAAGAAATCAATATTTAGTAAATCCTGTTATGTGTTTAAGGACCAGACGCGTTCTCTATTTTGCCTTTAAATTTTTGTGATCCAACTTTAAATACGTTCTCTGTTTGCTCTGGGTCATGGACATGACTGAAATACATGGTTTCTTTTCTTACTTGTCAAAAGACAACACTACGGATTTCATGTTTTGGATTCATTGATCTCCCTCACCCTCTGGCCTGACCAATCTTGTTACCATGAAGATAGTTTTCCTCCATGGACTTCAAATTGCATCTAAAATTAGTGAAGCTTTTGTATCTTATGCAGACACTGTGGGTAGCCCATCAAAATATAAGCTATAAGCTGTGTTCCTTTATTTTCATTTTTTTCTTTTACTTCTTTTGGTAAAGAATATTTCCAACAATCACATGCACCCCAACATCATGGGAGGCAAATTTCAGCATAGATCTATAAGACTTTCAGATGACCATGGGCCATTGCCTTCACGCTGTGGTAAGTACTACATCTACAATTTCGGTACCCGAACTGGTGCTTTAGAAATGTGGGGTTTTTATTTAAAAAAAAAAGAAATGTAGCAGAAAAATTCTTTCCGTGCAGCAAAATCAGTTTTTGTAAAGGACTCTGAGAAAGACAGTTGGGCTGTCAACACTTAAAGCAGCAGAGCGGGAACTTGGCACTATTGGGGTAAAGTGTTTGGGTCAGTTGAAAAAAAAGGAAACCTTTTCATGCCTTTAGATGTGAGCTAACAGTAGGTAATGATCATGTGTCCTTTTTTGGATGGCTGTACCGAGAACTTCAATCACTGTAGTCTAAGATCTGTTCTATAGATGACCTAGAATAGCCATGTAATATAATGTGACGATTCTAAATTTGTACCTATGTGACAGACATATTCAATAATGTGAAAACTGCTGATTTGATGGGGCTACATTAAGATTTGTAGGTGAAAGTGTAATACTGTTGGTTGAACTATGCTGAAGAGGGAAAGTGAGCGATTAGTTTGAGCCCTTGCTGGCTCTTTTCCACCTGCCAATTCTACATGTATTGTTGTGGTTTTATTCATTGTATGAAAATTCCTGTGATTTTTTTTAAATGTGCAGTACACATCAGCCTCACTGAGCTAATAAAGGGAAACGAATGTTTCAAATCTACTTCTGCTTTTCTTATTTGTCGGAACCAAATTGTTGGCATGTTTCTCAAATCAGTACACATCATTGCTTATTATTCAATTTCCTCTCAGCCTCTCCTCATTTGTTTCTTCATTTCTGTATTAATGGATGTGCTTTAGTTCTGAGGACATGTGCACCTCCCGTGTTTTGCCTATTATTTTTCAATGTGCAAAAGGCAGGTGTGGTTGATTTCTATAATGAAGGTTGAGAGAGTGAAAAGTGGCTTGAGACTTAATCAAATGCCTTAGCTTTATTTGTGCAAGTACCCTGGAAAGTATGTACCTTTAAGAATGAGCTAATGCCTTGAAGGTTATCAGGTAAATATGGGTCAGAAACTTTTCAATGACACATATCAGGATAAAGGCCCTGTCCTATTCATGTTACCAGGTTATATATGGAATGGGTGGGTAGCTGCAGGGGTGTCCTGCTGTTTTGCTGTAGGTTGAGCCTGGTAGCTAGCTGGTGATGGTCTTAAATGTAGAAGCCATTATTATTACTACAGCCTCTCCTGATTTTAGTATGGTCCTCTGAACTCAACCACTTGCTTTTCAAGAACAGTGTAAATACAGCATTGGGGGAATCACAACTAAATATATCTGCTCTCACTCAACCCACCAAATCTTCAAGAGAAAAATGTTTTTGATTATTGAGATGTGGTAAAACTATCATTCAAATGCACTAAAAATCTGCCAACTAACACAGGAAACACTCTTTATGATGCTACTTCCATTATATACAAATAGTAAAACCCATTAATATACTTTGTCAACATTCAAGATGTAAAACAATATTAATGTTAAATCATACAAATATTACATTCACCTGCAACTACAGATCCCAAGTATTTCTGAGACTCAGAGTGTGTACTACTGCTGACTCAAATTCCATTCTCACTTATGTTGTATTGAGCATCTCTTTATCTTCTGGTTGGAAGCAGAGAGGACATGAAAATAATAGAAGTGCATCTGAAGGAGTTAATTATTATCCCAGCAACCATTTTGGGGGTGGGTAGATGGGTATAGGGGATTTTAAAACGTCTTAACTGCTAGCTTGGTATTGGAGCATCTTGATGGGAGATAAAGGACTTGTTTCTTACTGCCTTCATAATGTTAAACCATTTCTATCTTTGATTATACTATTGGCAAAAAATCATTACCCAAATCAAAAGTAACTGAATACTTGATAGGAATAGCTTATTGTTTCTCGTCAAAAGTCTTTCACATTAAAACCGGCTAAATTATATACAGTGTCACATTGAGTTGAATCTGTTTTTCAACATTGCCAGTTTTATCTTATTTGTGGGGTTATTTAGCAAATCACTGGATGCAATTTGCAGACCAAATATTATCATTACATTAACTTGACACCTGTGTTACTAGATGTACAATATTAATTATCGAATATTTTAAATAAAGCCAAATTTTTGCAGTGTTTACTTTATAGTAATAGTATTTTGTGCAATTTCTCCTTGGCCCTTTTTTCAGCATACTGTACACCATTATAAATCAATCTTTGTGCTTTATCAAACAAATAGAATAATAAAGAAGGTCACAACTCAGAAAGAAGTTCCTTGGAGGTTTGTAATATCATGATTTAAATCTCAGATAGATTTAATCAAAAGTTGAATTAATCCCAGAGGAAAAGATTTTGTATAGATTCCATTGATGAGTACAAAGCAATCTATTTCTTTTCCAGTGCTCTCTGGTAATGTGTTGAGGAAAGGAACAACTTTTGCGTGGGAAAGGACAAAGATTCCTTCGTGGCAGAAGGCTAACATTCAGTCCTCTTTAGGTCAGCCTTCATCTCTTCCATGATCGTTTCATTCTGCTTATTGAGGCACCATCAGTGTTTCTAGTACATAAGGTTAAATGTCCTCCACCGGCTTATTCTCAGTTATTCCATGTGATTCTGTAACTACACACCATCTCCGAAGCTGCACTCCAGTGAAGCATGTGGAATGTGTGGGTCACATGGGCTGTTTTCCAGGTTTCTTTTGTGCAATCAGGTGATTGCTCGAGGGCAAATTCTCAGCATTCAAGGGTACCAGGAACTTGCAGAAAGAAATGAGCATAGAATGAGAATATTTTCAAGACCCAGTTCTACTGAAAAGCACAGCCAGGCTCCCCGACTAAGGGCAGGAGGCTGCCACCCTCCCAATGTCTTCTTGCTGTCCACAATTCCGTAGCAATGCAACCATGTCCCTGTTAGCTTAACATTCCTTGCCTGTGACCAGAAGACTCACAGCTGTGGCTTAGTGGAATTAATTAGTTGGAAAAAAAGTGAGAGAACTTTTAGAGGAGAAAAATCAAATGATCCTGTAATATTTTCATGATTAAATTAAATGAACATAATTATACATGCACATATGCACACCAAGACATTATTATAATCAGCAAACTTAAAATATTGCATTGTTTTTCATGCATATAGTAGTTACTGATGGCAATGAGCTAGTGTGATATTTGGATTTTCATATTGATCATTTTCATATATTGACTTCTAGTAGTAAGAAGCTGAATTATTAGTGAAAATTCTCGGGTGCTTGGGAAAAATATTGTGCTTTAGCTGGGCTTTGAGCATTGGGGCACTTAGGAACATTACTCCCCCTCCCCTACACACACACACACACACACACACACACACACACACACACACACACAAGCATGCACGCACGCACACATGCATGCACACACACACACAGAGTTCTGATGGATTTTCAACAAGATGACATTCAAGTGAAATCTGAAATTAAATGGGAAGGAAAAATGTTAAGTGGTTAAATCCTAAATAGCTTATTAGACTACTTAATTGGAGGGAATTTATTTTTGCGGCTGTTAGGTGCTCTATAGTCAAGTTTCTTTGTAATAATACTAATTGATGAGAGAAGCAACAGCTAAGGTTATGCGGTTACCACGCAATACCCTCCAGCAAGTAGTTAAGGAAATTCACAGGTACTTTCCTTTGATTGACTTGGTGTTCCTGATAATTTGGTCCTGTCTCCATTTGCTTTACCTCTTTCTCACTTCACTTCCAATCAGGTACTTCGCTTATTCTTACAACAGCTTTACACAATACTTAAAAGTCTTGCTTAATACTTAGACAATAAAGCTGTTCTTCCTCTTCACTTAACCACTTAGCAGGTTTTCCTTTGATAAGCACACCCTTTCATTAAATGTTTCATATTGCTTAGAGATATCACCCTTTGAAAGCATGTCTCTATTCATTGGCAGGACTGTGTGTCCACTATCACAGAATGAGGATTAGTTACCCTACAACACAGAAAGGGAAATTAGTAATATGCATATATAACATGTGATATGAATGCATTACTTTCATATAACTCCATGATCAAATCACATATGATCTAATTTTCTTCTATGTACTGATATGGTAAAAGCATCCTGGTGTTAATTGAGTGAATGACTGTTCCCTGGACCAATTATCTGAATTGCAATGGAGATTTCCAACAGGAAAATAGTTGGAGGGAGAGCTTCAAATTCATTACCCAATATTCTGCTTCAGCATCTGCAGTGTAGGAGGTGCCTACGTTTGCTAGGTTTTCCCACTTCCAATAGCAGGTGTGTTGTAGCACATAAAGGGACATACAAGTGCCTGAGCCCAATGAATGAAATAATTCATAGAGAGCTCACAAGAGGTTCTTTGTCGCATGGTGCCAGTGTATCACACAATCACATGGACTTAGTGGAAAAGTCATCTGAAGGAAACAGAAGGAGTAAATAGAAGGTTACTCAAACACCTTTGATCATCATGTACAAAGCAACGTAGGAAAAGATATCTTGGATCTGATTTGCCTTTTATGTCTACACATTCCATGAAGTCACATAAACAGAAGAGGTTGTAAAGGTAGGTAGCTGACCTATGAAGAAGAGAATGGACATTGTAAGTCTGGTTTCATGTGTGGGATTGTCTCTGTGCTTGCTTACAGGATCTGACTTGCTCTTAGAAAGATATGAACATACATAGGATTTCAGATACAACATTTAAGCATTAATTTTGAACAGTTACAAAATATAAGGTTCATCACACATATAACACAAGGACATTCTGTATTTTATTTCTCTTTCAGGAAGATTCTTTTGTTTTTCTTCTAATGGTTCATTTTTGCCATCTCCAAGTAGCTATTTGCAACAAGGGATCTTGGCAGACTTTCAGTATTTAGAGGTTAACATTAACTTCCCTAAAGCCATTTCTACTATTTAACATGAGCATATGCAAACTTATGGTGTTGGGGATATTCAAAGGCATTTTTCTTCTTAATTTTTTATGTAAATTTCATTTAGAAACATGATCAACTTAAAAAGGTTATTTTCCCACTATGAAAGTACCTGTTTGTTGCTCTTTCCTGAAATTTGAACTTACATAATGGTATGGCTGAACCTAAAATTTTTCCTTAAATATCCTCCATTCAATTTAAGATATATCTTTCCCTGAAAGAAGAACGCACACATGAAATGCTACCTTAAATTGAGACTCTAGATAAAGGGGCTATGAGAACGTGAAGATAATGAAAATATGAATGATGGTATCAGCTGGTATTTATTACGAATTTATCATCTCAGTAGTCACTTTGCCTAGCTGATTACAGTGCATTTTCTCAGTCCATATAACCAAAGGATAAGGGAGAATCATAACCCTTCCCATTTTATAGATGAGGAAATGAAGCTCTGAGACAATTACTGTCTAGAACAGGGCAAAGTTGAACTGGCCTCAAAACTTATTTCCCTATCGTTCAATGTATAATATCCCCAGGAATAAAATATTGATGCTTAAAGGTAAAAAAATCTGTCAGAGGTAATTGACTATTTAAATATTTGTTTAGTGTTGTTTCCATATGGTTGGATCAAATCTCTTCACAGTTTATCTTCTTACATTCTACACTGATGAAATTCCAATATGCAGATCACTGTAACCTATACAAAGATCAGAGAGAGGATAGATGGAAATCCTGCACAACAACATGC